ATCCTGTGCATTATGAGATGGTTAGTGGCCCACTAGGTGACAGGAGCATCTCCCACCCTAGTTGTGACAGCCAAAAATGTCTCCAGATTCTGCCCAGCGTTCCTGAGGAGAAGGACACAATTGTCTCCGGTTGAGAACCTCTGCCATAAAGGAAAAATTGGTCTGTTTTTATAAGCACACATTAAAATAGTCCCTTAATAATTAATATTTCATCTGAAATCACCTTGTGTTGCTCATTCTGGAATCTAGCGCCAAGGCCAAGAGGAAGGGAGCGCCACTGGGTTTGGGCTCTGTGTTGCCATGTGCTGTGTGGCCTTGGCCCCATCCCTTGACCCTGTGAGTCTCAGTTTCCTCGCTGGCTTGATGGCAACAATGACAGCACGGTCCCCATGGGAGAGCTGTAGGGTGAGTGACATGCAGAGGTGGCCTCGAGCAGCACAGGCAGAGCTATCAGCACAGAGCAAAAGGTAACTTGGTGACACTGTTATTTCTATAATCTACGGTTTTCAAGTGGGGTTCCTTAGAGCTTGAGGGTTCCAAAGACACACCTAAGGGTTTGCCCAAAGGGGTGGGGTGCTTGGAGCTTAGCACCCCCACTCTGGCTCAAAGCAGAACAGCAGCCCAAAGTCTCTGTCCAACTCTGTCCATTCTTAGCTCATGGGCCACGAAAAGCAGACGGCCGTGGGCAGCATGTGGCTTATAGGCTAGAGTTTGCCGACCCCCTGAACTGGACACTCCCCTTAGCACCTGGCTCAGAGCTGAGCCAGAAGAGACCATCAATAAACCCTCAGGGATGAATATGGATACACTGGGACTCTGAGCAAGATTTAATCTGGGGGAAAAAAAACAAAAGAGTTCCCCTGACTTAAGGAAACAAAAATGGAAACCCTCAGCACTAAGTGATGCGTTTGTAGACTGTGCCCACTCTGAAATGTTTTTGCTGGAGTGCGCTGGCCTGCACCCACCTAGAACATTCCATGGATGCATCAAACGGCTTCTGGGTCTGCCTCCACATTTAGGATGTGGCTCCCGAGGGAGGGACCATATGCTGAATTTCCACGTAGCACGTGCCCAGCTGAGGGCTTTGCACTAAAAAGATGATATGAAAAGGCCTGGTGACAGGCAGCGACTGTCCATGGGCCTTCAGTCCCCAAGAGGCTTCAAATGCAGTTGCCACTACAGCAATCCACACTGCTGTGGAGGTCGGGCACCCATGGCTCCTACCTGGCCCAGGGATGTGTTTAGTTTGGTACTTTTTTTTTTTTTTTTTTAAAGGGAGAAATTGTTTTTAAAATTTGAACTCAAAAATAGGGGGCTTCTGATCCTGGACTTCTGATCACTGGGTATTCTTGCTGGCAGTCATCGCTGGATTCCCCTCCTCCCTGCGAGATAATACCAAAGCTGCTACTCATAGTACTTAAAGAAAGATGTTATCAAACATCGAAGACATGTAAACAAGCTTTTTGGGGATGCCTGTAAAAATATAACATAGCTTGTAACTTTAAACATCACTCTTTTCGGACACTATTGATAAAAATAATTGTTGTTACTTATTGTAAGGAAAAAATAAATGTAGGCGCAGTGGCTCACACCTGTAATCCTAGCACTCTGGGAGGCCGAGGTGGGAAGATCACTAAGGTCAGGAGTTCGAGACCAGCCTAAGCAAGAGTGAGTGAGACTCCATCTCTACTAAAAATAGGAAGAAATTAGCTGGACAACTTAAAATATATAGAAAAAAATAGCTGGATATGGTGGTACATGCCTGTAGTCCCAGCTATTCGGGAGGCTGAGGCAGGAGGATTGCTTGAGCCCAGGAGTTTGAGATTGCTGTGAGCTAGGCTAACGCCATAGCACTCTAGCCCGGGCAACACAGTGAGACTCTGTCTCAAAAAAAAAAAAAATTGTTGTTACTTATTGTAAGGAAAAAATAAACGTAGTACAGATTGAAACAAAGGTACACACAAAATCTTTAAAAAATAAACCACCACTAACATTAAAATGATGATGTTTTCATTAAAAAGAAATTGGACAGATCGTGGACCAAATCAGGCCACTGCCTGTTTTTGTAAACAAAGTTTTATGGGAACACCATCACGTCCACTTGTTTTACGTGTTGTCTACGGCTGCTTTCGTTCCACAAGGCAGAGCTGAGTAGCTGCGACAGAGACCCACGGCCTGCAACGCTGAAAATACTCTCTGGCCCTTTGCTGAAAGTTTGCTCATCCCTGGCTTAAGTGATCACCACCGCTGCTTTCAAACTTGCACTGCCTGAAATTCTGCAGGAAGAGCTTTCCTGGCTTTTGGAAGAGACAGACTTTCTTGTTGAGCTGAAGGTGTGAGGAAGCAGCCCTGACCTGCCAGTGCTGGGGATGGGCTGGCAGTCCTAGAGGTCACTTTCGACGGCAGCTAATGGGGACCAGTGTCAGCACGATCTCTAATGTCCATGGACAATGGCCAAAGAAAGACCTACTGGGCCCTCCCCACAGTTGCCACTGTTATTTGTGTTGGCATCTTCTTAGTCAACAGCAGCAAGGGATACTCGGTTTGTCTATACCACCTTTTACACTGAGGACTACCATTAACCCACTTAAGAGACAAGGATACTGGACAAAGATGTGCCTGAGGACCCTGAGTGAACATGGGGCAGAGCCTTCTGGGTTGATCCGACCCCAAAAGCCACTCTGCCAAGACCGTAGCTGCCCTCAGATCCCCGAAGGATTGACGCTGAAGATCCACACGTCCCAGAGTGGGAGCTGGGAGTCCTCAAGGTTCACCATCTACTTCTCCATCACTTTCCTTGCAATCTTCCACTCACGTGGAGCAGAGCCGGTCCCTGCCTCTTTCCCGTCTCTCCAACTGAAACACTCCCATCCTAAGCTCGTGGCGGCCGTATTTTCCAGGACCGGGGTCAAGGAGACGTTTAAGAGGCGCAGGCTGGGAATATCACTTTGCTAGAGCTTAACCCTAACCCTCAGGCCAGAGGCTGGATCACTCAAGCTCATAAGCCAATTCCAAGTCCACCACTTGTCCCCAGAGAAAACACTCTGGTCTAAGCTGTCATCACCGTTGCCTCCTCACTGGGCTTCCTGTGCCCACTCTTGCCCTACCTGTCTCATCTCTATGCAGGGGCCCGAGTGATCTTTTGAAATAGCTCACCAGATGAGTGACTGCAGAGATCTACCACTGATTTTCCATGTCCAGTAGAACCGAATCCTCAGCACGGCCCCTGAGCTCTGAACTTCCCCTCCCTTTCTATGGTGGAACTATACTGGCCTTCTGGAAGCTTCTTAACCGATCCAAATTCATCCCCACTTTAGGGTCTCTGGACCTGCTAGGGTCTCTGGACCGCAGCCTGGAATGGCCAGCTCCTTCTCGCCACTTGGGTCATCCTTGACCACTCAGCACGACACCATCCTCCTCCCCAACTCTGCCAATTAAGGCTGTTTAATGGCATGCATTTGTTTTCTAGAATATTCTCACCAAGCTTCCCCACTAGAATGTAAACCCCGGGAGAACTAAAGTCTGTCTTGATCTATGTTCTATCCCCAATGCCTAGTCCTGGGCCTGTTATACAGTGGGCATTCCATAAATATTTCCTTAGTATCTTCACAATGCAAGAAATTCAACGTTGTCACAGCAATTCCCGGAGGAAATGTCACCGTTCGTACAGAAATAGCTTCCCACGTGGCCCCATACTGCCGTCACTAGATTCCACAAAAGGCTATTCTGCACCTTTCCCCCAAACAAACCACAGCAAAACTGAGCAACGCCCACCAGAGACCCCCACTTCAAAAAATTAGTTCATACCAGCTCTAAGAGCAAAGTAAATTCAAAACATGAAAATTTATTCTAAGTTGTATCTTAACATACGAGATCTCAGCTTTAGATGAATTTTAATGTTTACAAGCGCAAAAGCAAATAAATATTTACCAGTTGCTTTTTTTTTTTTTTGCACTCTTATAACTCCACAACAGCTTAGACGCAAAAAAAATTGTTGCTAAACATCTTGTAGTCTGGCAAAAGGAAGAATTTCTTATTAAGAAAACTCCTCACAACAATAACAACGCCTCGCGCTTATGGCTCCCTTGCAGATACCGTCAGGGTGGCTCATCAAGATTTGAGAATATGACAGAGCAACAAAATTGCTGCCGGTACGGGGGTGACTAGGACCGCAAGCCCTGGCCTCACTGTCTGTGAACTGGCTCGTGAGCACAGCCACAGAGAGGCGCCCATCGCTCTTGGGCAGTGACCATGGGACCAAGGGCCAGTTCTCCCCAGACTGAAGCTTTTCATTCTTTAGGATTCAATGTAAATGTCATTTCCCCAGAGTGGCCTTTCTTAGTTAAGGTAGGTCCCTGGCCTCTCCATATATAATTCTCTTGGACAGCATCCTGTCTATTTATTTCTTCTATTACCATTTCACAATCAGAAACTTCCATCAGCTAGCTGGCCTGCTGGCCAATCACTTATCCAGCGTGCCTGCCTCCTGCCTTCCTGCTACCTAACTCCCAGGCACATGCTCCATGCCAGCCACCACCTCTGGGCCGTGACATGCAATAGGCAGGGACTGTGCTCCCTGGGGACACCACCTCACCCAGTGCCTGGCACGATACTGGCCATCCATAAATAGACGAGTTGAATAAAATGACTGAGGAGTGGATTCTTAATGAATAAACTTCTTAAGATCGATGCCTTTTTTATTCATGCACATCATTGCCTGGTTGAAGTCCCTGGAGTTATTTCGAGGCAAGGAAACAAATATCAAGGAAAGACTTATTCCAGCAAAGACGACAGGTTCTTTTTCTTAGAATAAAATAGGAACACACACACACACACACACACACACACCGAGACAGTTGTGTGCACCCTTTTGATATCAGGGACATATAGGATTCCAAGAATATTAAGCACTTTCTGAATCTGACCTGCGGCTCCTAATTTGCAGAAAAGGGTCCGGGTGTTCGCGGCAGCGCGGAACAGCAGTGACTGGCGCCACTCACCTGGATTGACAGTGATGAATCTGCTGTCCTCGGAAAAGCGGTCGCCTCGGGACGCAGGCTTCTTGGATGGCGCTTCGGGCCTCCTGGGATCTCCCGCTGTGAACTGCTCCTCCGTGGCTGTGGCGGGCACTTGGGTGGAGGTGACCGAACCGGGGCCCAGGCCTGGGCCGGCGTCCCTGCGCCCCCCTGGCCAGTCGGTGGGGACGGCGGGTGTGTGGGCTGGCCCGCGCCCGGGTATAGTCTGGTGCCCCCCGTCCTGGGCGGTCCTGCTGGGGGAGGCGGCCGTGGGGCTGGGCTCCGCCTGGGTCCGCTCCTCGGTGGCCTGGGTCACCGCGCCCTTCTCCTTCTTCTCGGAGTCCTTGTCGCTGTCCTCCTCGTGCTCGCGCTCGCCGTCCTCGCTCTCGCCCTTCTCGTCCTTGCCGCCGCCGTCCTCCGCGCCCTCGCCGTCCTTGGTGGGCGCCGAGTCATTGTCTGGCCCTGGGGAGGCCGCGGCCTCCGTGGTGGCCAGCACCGGCCTGCCCGCCTGCTTGCTGGCCGCCGCGGCCGTGGGCAGGCGCGTGGGCCACACGGTGCTGGGGAAGGAGGAGATGCCGCCGCCGCCAAAGCCCAGGCCGGCCAGGAGCGTGCTGGTGACCACTGAGGCCACTGTCGCCTGGCTGCCGCTGGAGGAGGGGCCCATCCCAGTGGCCATGGAAACGAACGAGAAGGGGATGCCAGAGGACGTCCAGGTAGAAGACCCTGAACTGATGGGAGCCATGTCGGCGGAGGAGGCAGGTGACACTGTGGGCTGACAAGGGTCATCCGGGTGTTTGGAGAAGCGGCGGGAGAGGAAAAAGCAGAGACATGTCAGTGATGAGCACCGGGAACAGGGCCCTGGCTGTGACCCTCTGAGGGTTTCACTCTTATCCTACAGAGATTCCCACAGCATGGTGTCAAAGGTGACACTGGGTGGTCCATGGGTATCCGACTTTTATTTTAATGGGTTTATAATTACTTTGAGCCCAGGAAAAAAAATGAACAGTGTATCAAACTCAACTTTTCACCAATATTACTCAAGGTGAGATAGAGTGGCAAAAACGTAAGTTAGTTGGCTTAATGACAAACAAAGTCACATGGGCATCTGTTCTCGGGGTGACAGAGGCAGGATCCCCTGGATGCCAGGTGTATCCCTGACGCTCCAGGAGAATGCACAGCTGTCGGGGCGGGGAAGAACTGGGAGGCTCTGGTCCAGCTCCACCGTCTCACAGTGAGACAGTGGGTGGCCCGGGGACAGTGGCCTGCCCACATCTGTGGTGGCAGCCCAGACGAGGGAGCCCCACTCTGCACCCCAAGCTCTGGGTGCTGCTTTGCATCTCCACACTGGGTGCCATGGAGTCACGGTCCCTCCCAGAGTGTCTGGGCTTATCCGTGGCAAAATCTGCGTCCGTATAGATGACAACATCATCAACAAGAATAACAAGAGTTGCATTTGACAAGTGCCAGCTGTGTACTGGGGCTTTCTATGCTACCCCGGGGGCAGGCGTGACTGTCACCCCATTTTACCTCGGGGAAACTAAGGTAGAGAGACGTTAAGGAGTCTGCGCATGTGTATAGCCAGGAGGGTGGGAATGCAGAGCTGCCTGGGTGCAAACCTCAGCTCATTCTTCCCACCATACTAAACTGGAGCTCAAAGGTGGGATTTTAATTCACATACAGTATTGTAGGAAAACAAGAAGTGTTGCTTTGAGATACCAGTTTAATAGTTCTTATAATCTGGTATGCAGAATCCTAAAGTCCATCCTGTTATTTATATAGTTCAAAACAATAACTGGGACAGCTTAGGTTTCATGCTTTCTCAGGAAGTTTTACTTTGAAAACTTTGTAAGTTCTGAAGGTGGCTTATGAAATGCCAAAAATCACATAAGAAAAGGTGCTCGCCGGGCGCAGTGGCTCACACCTATAATCCCAGCAGTCTGGGAGGCCGAGGTGGGAAGATCGCTCAAGGTCAGGAGTTCGAAACCAGACTGAGCAAGAGCAAGACCCCATCTCTACTAAAAATACAAAGAAATTAATTGGCCAACTAAAAATATATAGAAAAACGTAGCCAAGCATGATGGCACATGCCTATAGTCCCAGCTACTCGTGAGGCTTAGGCAGAAGGATTGCCTGAGCCCAGGAGTTTGGGTTGCTGTGAGCTAGGCTGATGCCACGGCACTCTAGCCCGGGCAAGAGAGTGAGACTCTGTCTCAAAAAAAGAAAAGAAAAGAAAAAAAAAAGGCGCTTGACACAGAGAAGTCAGCCTGTCTGGGTGTGAGTTGATGATTTCTCACTTGCTTTCTGGGTGATGCCGGAACACATAGCTTTAGCTCACAGAGCCTCAGTTTCCTCAGGCATAAAATGGGAATAATAGGAACATTGACTTTGTGGGCTGCCTGGAGGAGTAAATAAAATAAGCTGTGCCTGAAACTCAGGAAGTGCTTAGTGAATTTTAGGCTATTATTTTTATCGCTGCCAGGGTGATTAGCGTTGTAATTATTGGTTGTACCAAGAATGGGGAAACAGAGATATTAATTCAGGCTCCAGAAACTTTCGGATCCATGTAATTTTGGGAAAGTGACAACCTCTGAGTTTTAGCAAACATCCAATGAAAGGGTTGGAACAGATTAACTCCTTTGCATTCCTGCACTGTCTGATTCCACAGATCATAAATAATTATAATCTGGCAGATTTTTACCTTGAAAAAATTATATAACATAACCCTCTAACACTGTTGCACAGCTTGTTTTCATAAAGTATTGAATTATAAAAAGTGAACAATGTCTTTTTCTCTATTTTAACCTTGTTACATCTAGCAGTTTAACAACATTATACTGCCACCTGGTGGTGACAGTTTTAACTGCATGCAAATTAACAACCAGCTGTGACAAAAGCCATTACCATGCTCTACTTACCACTCCTGTTTTCACAATTCTGGTACCTTGGAATATTCGAGTGGTATTAGCTGAGAAACAAAGAAATTACATTGTAAACAAAATTTTTTGTGATTACAACAAAACAAAACTTTACTTATGGACTCAAGTCCGAATTACATGTAATTTTCACATGTCAAGTCTGGGTGTGGTGGCTCACGCCTGCAATCATAGCATTTTGGGAGGCCAAGGTGGGAGGACTGCTTGAGCTCAGAGGCTCAAGACCAGCCTGAGCAATAGTGAGACCTCATTTCCACTAAAAACAGAAAAATGAGCAGGGCGTGGTAGCACGTGTCTGTAGTCCCAGCTACTACAGAGGCTGAGGCAGGAGGATCGCTTTGAACCCAGGAGTTGGAGGTTGTAGTGAGCTAGGTTGATGCCACTGCATTCTAGCCAGGTGTGAGACTCTGCCTCAAAAAAAATTTTTTTTTCACATGTCAAAATATTCTTTTGTAGATTTTTTCCAACCATTTAAAAACGTAAAACGCTTCTTAGCTTATAAGTCACAAAAACATGCACAGAGCTAGATTTGACCTAGGGGCTATAGTTTGCTGACCCTTGTCTTAAGCTTTTATTTTTTTTTATTGCTTTCTGTTTTATTGAGGTACAACTTACATACAGTAAAATGCATAAGACTTAAGTGTATAGTTCAATTAATTTTACATATGTAAACACTGTGTAACTGCTACCCATATTAAGATATATTTTCTAGTGTTCTGCAGGGAAAAGGTTTGCTTGTGCCCTATGCAATCAATACCCACCCCACCCCTAAAGGAAACCACTATTCTGACCTCTGTCAGAGTTTAACCTATTTTTGAACTTCATTTAAATGGAATCATATTATTCTATTGTTCCTCCTCTAGTATCTCTTTTGTCATAATTTCCTGTATTATCCGTTTAGTGATTCTAACATGCATCCTTACTACTGTTTATCTTAAATTAGTACTTTTTATCTGAGACAGAGTCTCACTCTGTTGCTTGGGCTAGAGTGCCGTGGCATCAGCCTTGCTCACAGCAACCTCAAACTCCTGGGCTCAGCAATCCTCCTGCCTCAGCCTCCCAAGTACCTGGGACAACAGGCATGCACCACCATGCCCAGCTAATTTTTTCTATATATTTTTAGTTGGCCAATTAATTTCTTTCTATTTTAATAGAGATGAGGTCTCGCTCTTGCTCAGGATGGTTTCGAACTCCTGGCCTTGAGCGATCTTCCCACCTCAGCCTCCCAGAGTGCTAGGATTATAGGCGTGAGCCACCTCACCCAGCCTTAAATTAGTACTTTTACTACTTTGTAAAAATGTAAGAACTGTATAATTTAACTCTATGTGCCTGCCTTGTCTTTTGTGTATTATCATATATGTGTGTGTGTCTGTACACACACATACACTAATTTATTTATTTAGAAAGCAGACTCCAACTCTATCATCCAGGATGGAGTGCAGTGGTATGATCATAGCTCACTGCAGCCTCAAACTCCTGAGCTCAAGGGATCCTTTTGCTTCAGTCTCCTGAGTAGCTGGGTCTATAGGCACATGCTACCACACCTGGCTAATTTTTAAACTTTTGGTAGGGACATGGGTCTTGCTATGTTGCCCAGGCTGGTCTCTAACTCCTGGTCTCAAGCAAACCTCCCACTTTAGCCTCCCAAAGTGCTGAGATTATATAGGCATGAGCCACTGTGCCCAGCCACAGATAATATAACATTTGAAAAAGCCATAATACACTGCTTCTTTGTGGGTATTTTAAGAAACAATAATGCTTCATAAACTGAAAATCTCCCTCCTATATACATGGCATCGAAATATTAGCAAAAAAAAAAAAAAAGCTAATTACCAAAATAAATGCCACTTGTAGCTGCTGTGATTTTTTTTTTTTTAATCTAAACTAGAAATGGCAAGTGACCTACATATACTTTTGTTTGGCCTGCAAGCTTTTTTTTTTTTCTTTAAAAAAAACCCAAAAAACAAGTTTTCCACCAACATCATAAACAGTAGCCCTTCATCTAAAAATCCTAATCTCCTGCTTATCTGAAAACACAGTTTTGGCCAAATTTGGCTCACCCTCCCATAGGGCAACAGTTTGTCTGCGGCGCTTGCCGGCTTTCCATTAGTCTTGAGCAATCTCCGCCGGGGTCAGTTAGAGCCCTGGTGACTAAGACGTTTCCACAGGACCTTTCAGATCATAAGTGCTTAACCTGTGGCCCCCGGGCCTCATGGAATTCAGGGATGGGGGAAACTGCCACCTGTGTCCTCACTAAGCTCTCCTGCCACGGTGCGTGCACTTTTTTCTGCAGTGCGTGTAGTCATCCGATCCCAGCTGCATTAGCAGGACCCGCGACTTTGTCTCTGATTGAAATCACAGATATTTTCATACTGCCTCATCGCTGCTGGAGCTATTTTGGAATATCATTGAAGTTCATCACTACTCAGAAATCATGGTAGCTCACAGACAAGCTACTTGTCATTTAATGAAAAAAAGCACATATATTACTACATCCCAAATTTGTTTAAAATATTTTGACAACTGCATTTGAATGTAATTGGTTCCTTTCCTATGTATTTTACTTATTTATTTGAAATTGTTATGAGAGAGGATGTGTGGGCCTTGAGAGGGACGGGTTTGTGGCTGGAAGAACAAGTTTGTGCGAGGTTTTCCATGACTGCTGGGAATTGCAAAATGGCTTTGAACACTTCATCATCAATCTTTTTATCCTTCTGTTGAAGATTTGGAGGACTGGGTAATATTTACTCTCTGGGGTGATCCAGGGCTGTGTATAAGCGATTGGGCTTTGCAGTCAAAAAACCAAACTCTGCTTAGTGGCCGAGTGATTCTTCTTGAGTTACCTGCACTCTGAACATCATTTCCTCGTTTGTAAAATAACACCTACATTACAAGCTGCCACGGAGTGTGGTTCGGATGAAATGATTTATGTGACAAGGCTCTGAAACTGCGAGCCACTCTACAAATCTTGCTTGCTGTTATTATTGTTATTATATTTACCACAGTAAGGTAAATACAACAATATGGATCGTAAATATCATTCTATTTACTATAATAAGGTAAATATTCCATGTGGCTTCCTCATGCTCCCAAGCCAGATGTCAGTTTATTATTGAGAAACCTAATTATTCTGAACAAGGCTTCTGCGGAAATCTCTGTGTTTTTTTTCCTTTCCCTTTTACAAACTTAAGTCTTCATCGTTGATCAGTTTTGTACATGGGCCTCTATTGCTAATGAATTCCACGCTGGCCTACCAGAAAAGGGACGGTTGCTTACCTTAAGATTTGGGGTGGGGGTGGGGTGTGTGTGTGTGTGTGTGTGTGTGTGTGTGTGTGTTTTGAGTCAGAGTCTCACTCTGTTGCCCAGGCTAGAGTGCCATGGCATCAGCTTAGCTCACAGCAATCTCCAACTCCTGGGCTCAAGGGATCCTCCTGCCTCAGCCTCCCGAGTAGCTGGGAAAACAAACATGCGCCACCATGCCTGGCTAATTTTTTCTATATATTTTTAGTTGGCCAATTAATTTCTTTCTATTTTTTTAGTAAAGACGGGGTCTTCGCTCTTGTTTCAGCTGGTTTCGAACTCCTGACCTTGAGCAATCCTCCCGCCTCCGCCTCCCAGAGTGCTAGGATGACAGATTTAGTTTTTTATACTGCTTGCTTGGACGTGGCAGGGACAAGCTAGAGCCACTGTGGGAAGGTGAAAATAAAGGATCCTGCCCCTTGATCTACACGTGGGGATAAACACTCACATAAATATCGAATACACTCACGTCCACCTCCGAGCAAAGAAAGTCTGCAGACCACGTAGACACTGGCCATTTTCGGCAAGTCGCTGTGATCAGACATTCAGAATATTCTGTGCTTTGAATTTATTAGCTGATCGGGCCTTTTTGAATTATATTATATTACAAACATTTAATTTTTCAAAGTCCACGCAGAAGCTAGGGAGCTCAGGGCCTATTAATCAGGCGAGGCAGTTCTGCAGAGTCGAGGCTCTTGGTCAGAGCACACGGGAGGCCTAATCGTGATTTATGTGTCCACAGTTCCAGGACCTCAGCCTCAGTAAGCACCTAGTCTAGAATCTTCTCTCCCCCCACTTGGCCGGCACAGACCTGGCCTTGGTTTGTAGTCCTTCCTCGACACAGAGAAAGAGACCAGTATATTCAGGGTAAAAGTAGAGACAGTAAGTGTGATTTATTTATGACAAAATGTAGATTGGCTGTTTCCTTTCCTTCCCTCTTTCTTTTCCTTCCTTCCTTTCCTTCTGAGACGGGGTCTCACTCTGTCACCCAGGCTGGACTGCAGTGACATAGCTCACTGCAAGCTCGACAGGCGTGAGCCACTGCATTCTGCCCACCAATTTCGATGAGTTTCAATGGAAGGATGACATCAATGTGAACATTAGCAAAGAATATATAAAATACCAAATGTAAGATTTTCAACCTAGAAGGGATCCTTGGAAAGGGAATCTAGGCTGGAAGGCTTCTTACCCTGGGATCATCATTTATAAACTTTTTTATATCAAACCTAATACTAAGGGGATGTTTCCACGTGGTGGTAGTAGCCGGCTATGCGCACTATGCAAATTACTTAAAATGTGTCACCCATGTCATTCTACAAGGACCCTGTGAGGTTGTCGCTGTTAATACCTCCACTTTTTGGATTAGGAAGCAGGAGCTTTAAGAAGTTAAGGAGCATTCTCAGAGTTGTACAGTCACTAAGTGGCAGCTGGGACTCAGACCGAGGGCCCTCACTCCAGGGCCCCTACCATGCAGCCGGCCACCAGGGCCACCTCACTAAAACTCAGATTCCACCCCCCACCCCGAGATTCTGATGCAGCTGGTCTGGGAAGGGCCTGTGAAGCTTCCAGCTGAGGCTGCTGGTCTACGACCTACACGCCTTCCATGGGCCCTGAAGTTGTATGCAAAATTCTAGGGAAACGGTCCAAATCCTTCCTAAGACCCACGACTCAAAAAGGTTAATAAGCACGACTAGCCTGCTGTGTGCGTTTTTCATTTTATGGATGGGGAAACAGAGGACCCAAGAAGTAAAGAACTTGACCAAGGAGGGCCTCAGGCTGGCAGAGCAGAGCTCTACTTCCACGCTGTTCTTAGCACGTATCACATTAAAGAAACCACGTCAGCAAATTATGGCCCCCAGGCTGGCTGCCTATTTCTGTAAATAATATTGGAGCCAAGACCAGGATTTCGGTAGGGTAGGACAGAGTGCCTCCTGTGCAGCTTTACCTAAAATCTTGATATTTTGTTCCTGAAATGTTTGCATTAATTTTGCTTTAATAAAACAAAACTCCCATTACGGCATCGTCTCTTGATCACTAAGTTTGCTGGCACCCCTTTAAATTTTGCTCCAAGGCAGATGTCTCACTTGCTGCACCTTAGTTCATTCGTAGAACTTTCCATGAATCCCTAAATCAGCAAGACCACGTATCTAGATCCCAGGAATCGCGAAGATCCTGGAAGAAGGGGCTCGTTTGTGTGGCTGAACCGTATCTGTTTGAGGCTGCAGTTCTGGGGAGAACAGCTAACTGACTCATGTCAGGAAATCCAAAGAGGACATTCAACGACACGACTTGGAGGTGATATTGTGATCTGACACAGCCACCGTGCTAGGGGTGAGAGAAAGGTCCAAATACTTGGCTCTCCACAGCTGGAAAATGACAATAAAATAAAGAGAAAATAAGCTTTGCTTTTCCCCTCTTCCTCTGGCCTAGGAAACCTCCAGCCTAAAAGACAAATCCAAATTAATGACTGCGGCTTTCCGCGGGGGGTTTAAAACCCTATACTGGTTGTTAGGCCAGGCTCGCGAGCACCTTGGCAGGTAGGAGGACAAGGCACAGCAAGCGCCCAGGGCACATTCAGGGGAGACCAGCCTCACCTTGAAAGAGCATCGTCTGGCTGAAGTCGCTACGCATGTCGTTCCGACACACAGCCTGCACGCGGAACAGGTAAAGGCTGTCGGGTGAGACGTGGCTAATGGTGGCTTTCTGTAGGTGAAGAAGGACAGGCGGTGAGTTGGGTTTGAAGGCCAGCGCACGCTTTGTATCCTCAAGACAAACCTGGGTACCAAGGCAAAGCCGGACAGAAATGATGTCGCCCTACGGACAAAGGCTCACTTTGGAAGGCCATTGAGACCTTGCGTGTGAATCTGTTTTCATGACTTTGCCTAAAAGCTGTTTTCAATGTCGAAATGTGCAGGATAAGAGAAATAATAGCATCATTCTTGACACTGGCTTAGAATGTGTCTTCAGCCCTCTTTACACTCACAAGGCTTGGACTTCTGTGATGATTACTGTACCTGATAAACTATAATTATTCTTAGACAGCCTCTAGCATCATCAAGTGTACCTAATCTCCAGAGCCATGCAGAGTTTAGAACATCCACGAAATAATCTCTGCGTGTTTCTTTCTTTGCAGTCTAAAGGACTATGGAGAGTATGGGGCACGGTGCAAGGAAAGCCACCAGGCTAGTGGGCAGGGGACACGAGATCCAGCCTTTCACGCCACTCATGAGCAGTGTGATTCTGAGCCAGCTCCTCCAAGTCTTTCAGCCTCTACTCAACTTGAACTGTTAAGGTTCTTGTGAGAACTATGTGACATAGGCCAGGCAAACCTTGCTCATGGATAGACCACACTGAGCAAGGGAAAGACTGCCAACGGTCTAACCAGGGGTCGGGGAGCTCCGGCCACCATCTGTTTTTATGAATCAAGTTTGTTTGTTTTTGTTTTTTATTTTTTTTATTTTTTTTTTTTTTGAGACAGAGTCTCGCTTTGTTGCCCAGGCTAGAGTGAGTGCCGTGGCGTCAGAGCTCACAGCAACCTCAAACTCCTGGGCTCGAGTGATCCTTCTGCCTCAGCCTCCCGAGTAGCTGGGACTACAGGCATGCGCCACCATGCCCGGCTAATTTTTTATATATATATATCAGTTGGCCAATTAATTTCTTTCTATTTATAGTAGAGACGGGGTCTCGCTCTTGCTCAGGCTGGTTTTGAACTCCTGACCTTGAGCAATCCGCCCGCCTCGGCCTCCCAAGAGCTAGGATTACAGGCGTGAGCCACAGCGCCCGGCCTATTTTTTTTTTTTGAGACAGAGTCTCACTCTGTCTTCCAGGGCTAGAGTGCCGTGGTGTAAGCCTAGCTCACAGCAACCTCAAACTCCTGGGCTCAAGCGATCCTCCTGCCTCAGCCTCCAGAGTAGCTGGGACTACAGGCATGTGCCACCATGCCCGGCTAATTTTTTTTATATTTATTTTTAGTTGGCCAATTAATTTCTTTCTATTTTTAGTAGAGACGGGGGTCTTGTTCTTGCTCAGGCTGGTTTTGAACTCCTGATCTCAAGCAATCCTCCCGCCTCAGCCTCCCAGAGTGCTAGGATTACACGCGTGAGCCACCATGCCCGGCCACAAATCCAAGTTTTACTGGCACATAGCCATGGCTGTTTATGTGTCATCTATGGCTGCTTCTACCCTGCAATGGGACTCGCTTGAGTAGCCGAGACAGGGACTGTTTAAATCCGTAAAGCATAAAATGTCTAGAAGTTTGCCGACCTATGGGCAAACATCACCAGCCAAATTCTGGTCCCCATTCCTTAAAGTTTCATTCCAATAGCCTTTAAAAATGAGAAAGAGCTGGGCATGGTGGCTCATGCCTGTAATCCTAGCACTCCGGGAGGGCGAGGCGGGCAGATCGCTCAAGGTCAGGAGTTTGAGACCAGCCTGAGCAAGAGTGAAACCCCGTCTCTACTAAAAATAGAAATAAATTAATTGGCCAACTAAAAATACATAGGAAAAATTAGCTGGGCATGATGGCGCATGCCTGTAGTCCCAGCTACTCTGGAGGCTGAGGCAGGAGGATCGCTTGAGCCCAGGAGTTTGAGGTTGCTGTGAGCTAGGCTGAGGCCACAGCATTCTAGCCCGGGCAACGGAGTGAGATTCTGTCTAAAACAATAAAATAAAATAAATAAATAAAAATGAGAAAGTAGAAAATACCTAAGAAGCAGGCAGCACTCGCTTGCTGAAGAAACAAAAGCAACTGATTTTCAAAGATTCTTCCTAATGGATGGATGTCGCCATCGAAGCATGTATTTTGGGCCTAGTATAGATGCAGCCCCGTGTGAGCTTAGCCACTGCGTGGGTCTTCCTGACACAGCCATTGAAAACCTCTGAACTGGCATTAAAATGTCACTGTGGCCCCACCTGCAGCCGCTGCCTCAAAAACAGCTTCCCGGTGACAGTGGGTAGGTCAGAGTCATGTTATTTCGCTTTAAGCCTCATTTATCTCTTTTGGAAGAGGTGGGTAATGACACCTGCCTCGCAGGTTTGTGGCCAGGCTGAGCAAGAGGGACGCCCACTAGAAAATGCTGCTCGAATGTTAAGCATGACTTTTTAGGTTTCTGGGCCACCCTAACCACAAGTTAGAGAAGAGCTTTGTTGCCACTAAGTCAGCACTCTAGACTTTGAGGAGTTAAGCAGATTCATTTTGTGTGTTCCGAAAGAAAATAACCACCCCTAGAAATTCTTGCAAAAAGAAAGAACTTGCTGTCAAAGCATGTTTTTCTCTACATCTCTTTCTCCGAAACTAATTTATGCCTCGTTTCCTAAACCTCTGACCCCATCTTCCGTTCAGAGCAGAATCTTCACTCCGTCTATCGCAGGGATTTATTAGAATTCACTCCAAGCCGCTATCCATTCATCTTTGCATGTTTAATTATTTCCCACTTAGAACAAGAAACCGCCTAAGCGCCTAGATAGTTTCTGCTGATTAATGCAAGCCATCTTTACTTCAGAAAGGGAAAAATCCCTTCTGGACTTTTCAGTTATGACAAGAGAAAGGTTAAAATACATCATAACCTTGGGTGCCTTTCAACAGATTCCTCTCTGATTTCAGGAAGCTCACCGTTCCCCAATGTGGTCCAGATAACAATGTCTAGTGGGGAAATTGAAAATATAAATGGAAATGAAGTAAAATAATCTTCATCTAAAGAAATATGGAAAGTATTATTCCATAACGGATTGAATGGGCCCTGAGGATTCTGTATGGGGAGAAAAAAAAAAAAACTGATAACAGTCATTAAGAATCCCACTTGGTGCTATTGCATTTTTCATGTGCATATACAATTACGGGTCTCATTATTCCAAAGCCTTCCTTTGATTAACAATAAACGGGAGGCTTCTGAGCCCAAATGTGTCACTTTGAGTTTCTAGGCAAACTCTTCAAGGCTAGCGCTCGCTTGTTGGAGGGTTTGCTTTTACGGGGAAGAAGGTGGCTTCTACAGACATCCGTCCTGAAGGGCCTTTTTGGGCGTTGGACACTAGACATTTGTGTAAATTTTAAGACGAGAAGATGAATCGGGCACGTGTGGCTCTATGTGAGGCCAGACAGTATAGTGTCTGAGAGTCTGAGAGCAGAGATAAAAAGTCACATGGCCTCAGGGACCCAGCAGGTACTGGTGATGCATAAGGCAGGACAGATGTGACAAAAAGGAGTTGTGTGGCCAGTGGACAGCTGCTGGTGCTGGTAGCTGCAGTATAGGAGGAATAATTGTAATAATAATAATAGTTAATATTGGCATAGAGCTCACTATATGCTGGGACCGGTCAAACATCTGTATAACTCAGTTACAATAACCGTGTCATATGAAAAAAGGCTTAATGGAGGTTTTCTCCTTGTTAATATCGAAAGAGAAAGCAGTCAGTTTTGAAGGACCTGAGGCAAAGGGATCACTTGGCCCTCCCGGTCACGAGGCTGGTAAGCGTCAGGTCAGAATGGAGCCCGGGCAGGCTCCAGCCACTGCCCCCCCCACCCCCCTGGGTCACTGCCAGGCAGCACAGCCCGCCGCGGTGGCACCTGCGCTCAGCGGGCAGCGTGAGGACAGGATGAGGCAGGGGTGGCATGCCGCGCAATGCCTGGCTGAGAGGGCCAGCGGGAGGTCCCCTCATCCCCGCAAGAGCAGCGCGCACGCACCCCGAATCGGAAGGGGGCCTCACCAAGTCCTTGTCGCTGTCCTTGGTGAACGTCTTCTCCTTCTCGTCCTCGTTCTTGGTCCAGCTGTAGGAGATCATGTAGTTCATGATGGGCGGGTGGTAGACGGTCTCGGGCTGGCTCCAGGACACCTGCAGCGCCGTCTGGTTGAGGGGCTGCACCTTCATGTGGACGGGTGGCGAGCTGCAGACTGAGCACACGTACGGCCAAGCTCAAAGGGCTTCTCAGAAGAGGCACCCTTCACCCTGCGCTCCCAAGGACTGCAACCTCGAGACGTTGCAAGAGTAATAACACAGGAAACACACCCCCTTCACCTGGATCCTCCTTTTAGTATTTTGCCCCATCTCGTCTTCTGTCCCTCCCTTTCTACACACACACGCTCATAGGGCTGTTTTTCTGCTAAGCCACTGACAGCGAGTTGCAGACATTGTGACATTTCCCCCTTAAATACTCCAGCCCACGTCTCCTAAGAGTATAAGGACATTCTGCTGTAGAACCGTGATATCACTATTACAGCTAAGAAGCGAAACACGATTTCAACGATTTTATCTCATGCATAGTCCACATTGGCCCAGATTCAGATTTCTCCAGTTGCCCCCTCCCAAAATGCTTTATTACTGGCCCCCGTCCCAACTTTGGCCTTTTATTCCCACGACAGCCTCAGTGAAGAAGCCAGGCCACTGGACCCAGCAGAGTGTTCCAACTAAAACTGGAGAGGAAATTTTACTGCCAACACATGAGACTGTCAATATATACTATTTATTTATTTATTTGAGTCAGAGTCTCACTTTGTTGCCTGGGCTACAGTGCCATGGCGTCAGCGTAGCTCACAGCAACCTCAAACTCCTGGGCTCAAGTCATCCTACTGCCTCAGCCTCCTGAGTAGCTGGGACTACAGGCATGTGCCACCATGCCCGGCTAATTTTTTCTATATATTTTTAATTGGCCGATTAATTTCTTTCTATTTTTAGTAGAGATGGTGTCTCGATCTTGCTCAGGCTGGTCTCGAACTCCTGACCTTGAGCGATTCACCTACCTCGGCTTCCTAGAGTGCTAGGATTACAGGCGTGAGTCACCATGCCTGACCAATAAATACAATTTAAAATGAGACTTTAGGTAATTTTAAAGCAAAGGCGCACAAAACAAGATGACTTTCTCTAGAGCAGCAGACGCCGTGTTATGATTCTGATGTGGGGTACAAAAACAGGTGAGGCTAATTCGTCCTCTCATTGCTCGTGGCTGGGAGGCTTTGAGGGACAAGGTGGCTCTATCCGTGGACAGACCTGTGGAAGTATTGAGAGCTTCGAGCCTCTAAATGGGTTCTTCCTTGGGGTGTCTCTGTCCCAGTGCCCGTGGTCCCTGCATTCATGGGGCCTGTGGTCCAAGGCTGGGCTTAGCCTCAGCACCACTGACCCCTCGAGCCAGACAATTCTTTGCTCCACGAGGCGATCCTCGGAGCAAAGGATGCCAGTAGCACCACAAAGAAGGGAAGACAAGCAAAGGGACGGCAGGAGGAAGGGGCTAGATCCAAATTCTGGCCTTTCTCCCGTAAGCCCTTGGAAGCCACTGGAAAGACCTGAGCCCAAGAACGACCTCATCAGGTTGCCACTATGCAAAGATCCTGAGCTTCAGCCAAGTGTCGCAGGCCCTCAAGAAGCCAAGTGTAGATGGAGGTGCCGTAGACCACCTGCTGCTGGTGGACCAGGGAGGAGCGGAAGGTTCCAGAACTCGCAGCTGAGAGGTGAGACCCAGAGGCCTGGCAACGTGCCGGCTGAGGAGGGAGCGAGAGGGAGGCTGTGAGGACGTCCTGCTGGCGTGGGTGCAGGAGCTGGGTGAGCAGGAGTACGTGCTAGACACACGCCGGGGGACCGTGACTTGGTTCTGACCGGCAGGCGCCTCCTGGAGCCACCTGGAGCCAGACTCCCCCATTCCCTATCCAGGATCCCCAAACCCAAGGCAGCCCTGGGGAGCAGGATGGCTTTCCTGCCCAAGAAGCCCAGCTTTAAGCCTGGCTGCTGGAGAAAAGCAGAGACAGGTTTTGATGGGGCAGCAAACTATGGCTCAGTCGGAGACGTTGAGTGTATGTCACCGAGATAGGAAGGACAGGACAAATGAACGAGGCATTCCTACTGCCCCAAAGAACCCCAGGAGGCATGGCGCTGCCTGCCAGGCAAAAGCCACCAGAGCAGGGACATCATCAAACAAAGAATCTGAAGGGAGAATTCTGCAAGGCACTGAGGGTGAGATGACAGAGCACCGGCACTAGGTGGCGCCAACCTACTATCTTTAAATACCCCAAGTCGGCGGCTTATTATATTAATAATTTCTCAAGACAGAACGTGGGGGGACTGTGGGGGAAGATCAGGAAAACAGTTACACCCTCATCTTTCCAAATACTAATAATGAAGAAAGGGGATTTATAAATTGGGAAGCCACTATACCTCATCATGATGACCATGTCAGATTTTCCTAACTTCTCCATTTTTTCTCACCTCCTACCATGTTCTTATTTATCTTCCTTCTTGGGAAGCCCTTCACTCCCCTGCTCTGATCCATTGTGAGCTGTGGGGGGATGCATTTCTCCAGCAGTTGCATCATAGTGACATAAATAATTCTATCACCCACATGCACATGCAATCATCCTCCTTATTTACTTTTGGAAATGAAAATAGCTGGGTTTTTCGATGTGGATTAAGATGATTCTTGTTAATGATTTTTTAAAAAGAAACCCAAGTAATACAAAAAAGTATGAAGAAGAAAAAAAATTACCCTAAATCCCAGGGGGTCCAGAGATAAGCACTGTGAACATTTTAAGGGTCCAACATGCATGTATCTATCTCTTTATACACACGTGAAGTGCATACACACAACTTGACATCAATGGACTAGGAGAAGTATGGCACTGTAAGTCATTTTGTTGTTGTGTTTTACTCTTTAATTCACTGATATATTTTCCTTATCAATAAGCAGAGCTTGGTATCATTGTCTTGAATGAAGGCAGAGATTCCCCCCGTCTCAATGCATTAAAAAATATCGAATTAACCTCTCAAAGGAGGTAGAGGTCTGGACTCACTTTAGTGGGATCACAGGCCAGGAAGGGAATTCCAGAATTGAGGGGTTGGTTGCCAAAGACCGGGGCTTGTCCTAGCACATCAGACGGGGGGTTGGCAGGCTGAGAAGTCACACCTGGCCTATAGGAAGAGCATTCTCTCTACTCCCCAGCCTGAGCAGTGAGCATTTTTCTAGGCACGTGGGGTTGGATTTGGAGGAGGTACTTGCAAAGTACTGGGAGGACCTAGAATAGTGATTGGCAAACTTTGTCTGTAAACCGCCAAAGAGGAAATATTTTCAGCTATGTGGGGCACACTGTCTCTATTGCCACTACTGATTGTGTCTTGAAAGCACAGAGCAGCATAGATACCATGTAAAATTGAATGAGTGTGGTCATGTTCCAATAAAACTTTATTTATGGACACAGTTTCACTTTCATATGTGATTTTCATGTGTCACAAAATATTCTTTTGATCTTTCTGAACTGTTTAAAAATATAAAAACCATCCTTAGCTCATGGCTACACAAAAGGTGGTGAAAGCCAAGTTTTCGCCTACAGATCAGTAGTTTGCTGATTCCAGACTTAGAAGATAAAAGGAGGCCAAACCTTACTTGAAACATGGTCATCAACTGCATTTGTATTTATTTTTATTTTTTTGAGATGGGGTCTTGCATGGCACCCAGGCTAGAGTGTAGTGGCGTCATCATAGCTCACTGCAACCTCAAACTCTGGGCTCAAGTGATCCTCCTGCCTCAGCCTCCTGAGTGGTTGTGCCTACAGGTCCCCACCACTGCACCTGGCTAATTTTTTTTTTTTTTTCAATAGAGATAGGGTCTCCCTGTGTTGCCCACGCTGGTTTCCAACTCTTAAGCTCAAGCGATTTCCCCGCCTCAGCCTCCCAAAGTGCTGAGATGACAGGCATGAGCCACCCGGCCTGCACTTGTATTCCTGACACCAAAGTCTGCCCCTCAGAACGGCCTGATAGGCCTGCTCTTCACAGGGCTTAGATTCTCCCTAGCACTTACCCCCACACGGTGGAATTACACGACTGACTTCATTGACTATCTGCAATGATCTGCCTAAGTATGGCACCTTCTCTGTCTTGCGCCATACATTATCCTTGGGTCTAAGAAAGTGCCTGTCCCTAAGTATTTGCTGAATGAACGCACATTGGCTGCACGTGAAATAGAATCCATCGTCTTTCCCCTGGTCCACAGGTCCTGTGTGACATGATCCATCACCCCCACTCCCCCCCTGCTTCCATTTTCCTCCTCCCTCACCCACCTCCGGCTGGCCCCCACCGCAGCATGTCCTGCTTCCCCTCTTTGTGCCCGATGGGGCACTGTGTCCCCTGCACCCTCTACGCCTCCCACCTTGCAGTGCCCATCACACCAAGTCCCCATCACCCGCCCACCCCTCTGTCCCTCTGATGGAGCTATAAGCACCTCCAGGGTGGGAAGCAGGAACCAAGTTCCTTACCCCATGGCGGGGGCTCACACTTCCTTGTCAAAATGAGGGAAGGTCTGTGTGTGCTTTTTTTTTTTTTTCTTTCCCCGAGACAGAGTCCCATTCTGTTGCCCGGGCTAGAGTGCCGTGGCGTCAGCCTCGCTCACAGCAACCTCAGACTCCTGGGCTCAAGCGATCCTCCTGCCTCAGCCTCCTGAGTAGCTGGGACTACAGGCATGTGTCACCATGCCCGGCTAATTTTTTCTATATAGTTTTAGTTGGACAATTAATTTCTTCCTATTTTTAGTAGAGATGGTGTCTCGATCTTGCTCAGGCTGGTCTCGAACTCCTGACCTTGAGCCATCTGCCCGCCTCAGCCTCCTGGAGTACTGGGATTACAGGCATGAGCCACCTCTTTGATCAGGATCCCTGACGTTTCTCCTACACAATCAAGTGCCACACCATTCATTCCTGCAGTCACCTTTAGGAGCCTCCTGTGCATGTGAAGATCCTGTCACCAGTCACCTACGCACACATTCTGCACGGGCTCTCTGCCCATCAGAAGATGAATTCAGTCTACGGAGGCAATGAAGACTCCAGAATGCTCAGCGGTGGGGGCCAAGGCACGTGTGCAAACGAGATGCAAACGAAGTCCTGCCTGCTTTTTAAATGATGGAAACCCTTCTTTCCAA